GAAGCAATGAGCATGAAACTGAGCAAACTCCGGGAGGCAGTGAAGGCCAGGAAGGCCAGGCGCGATATGGTTCATGGGGTCATGAACAGTTGGACACGACTTAACAACTGAACAACACCTCCATGTGGAAAGTGCCTTAGAAGGTCATTTGTGAAAATAGTTTGGAAAATGTAATATTGTAATGACACTACTTTTTTGAAAATGCTACCATGCTTAGAAATAAGCCCCACCCCCAAAAAAAGATTTGACAATGTTTAAAATCTCACTCTGCTGCTTGAAAGTTTGAAAGTTCAGCACCCTCATTTGGGTGAATTACTTTTCTTTCTTGTTTTTCTTCTTCCAGAATATGTTCTTTGTGTTTGTAAAATTCTGCATATTCCATTATAAATCCTTCTAACGACTGTTGCTTTCCTAAAGGGTGGGGGAACACCCAAAGACAAACATGATCAGATATTCATAATTCTAGAATATCATGTTATGTCAATATTGTCTATAAGTTTTTTTCTGCTCAGATTTTTTAAAAAGTTCAGCAGCAGTTACTTTTCCAGATGAATTTCACAACCCTTTTGATATAGTTCAACATTTTCACCTTAGCAACATACATTTGTATTTTAAAATCAATGTCGGGGAATGTGTACTTTGCCTCTTAGTCACTGGAGGATCAGCATTTCCAAGATCATTAATCTGTACTTTCCTATTACTTGTACCCAGCTAGAGACCATACCTGTCAAAGGAAGCTGCTCAACTAATACATCTGCCACCTGTGGCTCAACAGGAAGTGGTGTGTGAGGATGATGGCGTGCCTGATCTGACAAGTGCCAAGATCTCATAATTCAACAGAAAAAGCAGGAGGGCAGATTTTTGCCATGTACACAATATGAGACTATCTGTACTTGGCCACTAAAAATGAAATAAATAAAAGACTATATTATTCTGTTGATCAGCTGTTTAGAAGGGACTGAATTTAGTCCCTCAAAAAGTCTCCCATCCGTGTTGCTTGAACAAATTCTCTCCTTTCCTAGGAGCAGCTAATATGCCTTTTGCTTTTTTTTTTTTTTTTTTGGAGGCACAAAAAACAGCATTAAATGCCAAGTGACTTTGTTGCAATTTATTAAACTATGGATATATAAATGCCAGCAAACAATAATTTACAATGGAGTAAACAAAAGCTGTGTAACACAGTAATCTCAGCTGTAATGTTCTGGTCAGGTGCAGATTTGTGATAAACTTCTTAGACCTTAGCAGGAGTTTAGTATATATTCTCCAAGTAATAGCAAGGTTATTTACTCTGTTGGGAAGAAAGCACTAGGAACACAGGCTTCATTTTCTTAAACCAGAAATTGCTATACTTGGTTGCATTGCAAAATTGTACTCTAGTTCTTTGTACATGAGCTACCCAAGGGGAGGGAGTATGAAAAGTATTCAGATTAAAGCTCAATTCCTTGTGCATTCTAGTTTGGTTGCTCTGCAACCAAACGTATGGTGCAAAAAAAAAAAGGAGGGAAGGATAGTGCTGAGTTTGTCCATAATCCATGTCAATTAACCTTTTGTCAATCCAAATCTATATTCTGAGAAGGTCTGCCTGAAGTTTCAGCCATGTGAAAAGGAAGGCATGGACTTTGGGATTAAGGTTTTCATCTCTGCCACTTGCATTGCTGAAAAGACCAGAAGTTGCAATGGAAACCCCCATCAGTCTTTGGGATATTGCATCTGGTTAGCAGAATTTGCCTTGACAGGTTAGAGGCTGTGCAAAGTGGTCAGGGGTTGTTTGGTCATTTTTTAAAAGGAATCCTCTCTTGTTGCTAGTTTTTACATTCATATTGCTATATTGTTCAGCATATTGTTAGACATCTTAATTGTTTAAAAAATAACTAAGAATTTGTAGTGGTGTGAAGTGTCAAGCCTGTTAACTTTTTGACCTGCTATTGTATTTTATCAGAATAGCTCCAGGGATGAGCTTGTTTGACAAAATTCCATCGTTGTCGGAATGGCAGAAGACAGAACATTTCTGTTTATGTCAGGAGGAGCCTGAATCATACCTGCAACCTTTAAATACTCTGCATACTTTTCAGAATTCTCCTCCACAATCTTTGGATTGCTATGATAAGAAAATGTATTACACTTCCATAATTCCATACCTAGATGTCACATCAGACTATGTCATTCACCTGAAAACAAATTCTTCTTTATTAGATGATGGGCAAAGTGTTGCTAGTATCTCTAGTCATTGGGAAGATCTCCAAAGAGAAAAAAGGCAAGGCTCTTTGGAATATTTACCTATTTCCTCTTCACAACATCCAAGTCCAACTGACTTTGAAAGTTTCACATATTTTTTCCCAGAAGATTATTTTGAAGGGAAGTGGCCTAAAGTTCAGACTACGTGGCCAACTCCAAGTGGCCTGACCTCAGCTGAAGTCTTAACAAATTGCAAGGCATTTCTTGAAAATTCTGCCATTGGCTCAACTTGCAAAGGGTTTCTTGGCACTCAACTCGATGTGGCCATTGAAATGTGTCTTTCAGATGTGCAGATTAAGGATGATCTCAAATGGAGAGAATTACTTATCCCATTTTTGGAAAACGTCTGTGAAAAAAACCTCATCTTAGAAAATGCAACTGAATATTTTCATTCAACATATGAGATACCTGCTATACATCACAAAATTGTCACAGCGCTCAGATGTCCCAATCTCTGTAATGGCCACGGACAGTGCACTATAAGGGGATGTCAGTGCTTTGAAGGCTACGGCTCCTATGACTGTAGAATTGCCAAAGGTAAGTAAAAAAATTCTGTTTCCTCTTAATCACCTTATCATTTTAAAACATTGAATAAATTGAAGGAATAACTGCAGTAAACTGCTGCTCAAACAATATCACTGGTTTTTATAGGTTTTTATTTTGATAAGATTATTACAGTCCCTGGTTGGTTACTTTGTAGAAGGATTTTTGGGTTTTTTTCCCTATGTTTTGATTTTGCTTTGGTTAATTTGTAAAAATGGATGGGATGGTTCCCTTAAACAAATTGGCTTTATGGAATTATGTTTCAGCTTTGTCATCTACAGGCAAATGGAAATAGAAGTCTGACATAAGTATTATATAATGCAAGAAAGTTAAGAATTTGTAATTTGTTTATACAATTTTTATAGACTGCCCACTGCAACAAAGGACTCAAGGTAGTTTACAATTAACAAAAGAATTAAAACAAAATTGAACCTAGAACCCAGATAATTTTTTTACCATACCAGCTTACTGGAATACTAAATTTTTTAAAACCTTCTTAAAAGTCAAGAAGTTGGGGCCATTCCTAATGTGGCAGGGTATTCTAGAGGGTGGAGGCCACCAATGTCCCTCAGGGGAATGGTCTGTGGGAATGACCTTGGGAGACAGGAGGAAGAGCTGCAGCCTAGACAACCGTCATGCAAAAGGCATCTCACCAAGGTCTCACCAAGGAAAAGGGACATGGGAAGCAACTCAGAAGGGACCCTCCCTAGTTTTCTGGAAAGTAAAAGTAAAGGAGGGGAAAAGTGCTTTCAGACTTGCAAGATTCTGTTACTGCAACCTTACAATAAAGGCAGTGCTAGTATTCATGGTTTGTGCTTCTTGTCTGGACTACCTTGAAGGGCTGACACTCAGTCCCCCTCTCCTCTCATGGAATAGGGAGGCTCAGAATACCTTCCTTTCTGATCACGTGGGGCAACCTTATATGGTGGGAAAGAAAGTCCAAGACACAGGTGCCAACCATAAATAGCTTTTAAGACAATAACCAGTATCTTGAACTGGACCCAGAAGCTAACTAGAAGACAATGTGGTGCCCACAGCATTGATGTAACACTGCTGAACATGTGTACACAACCAAAGAGAGGACCTTGGAGAAATGAGGTAGAGACAATGGTTGCAAAAACATACTAACTTGGGAAAGAGAGAAAGTATGACAAAGAAGCTACAACTGACTCTTCCTTAACTCACTAGAATATAGGAGGGAGGGAGGGGAAAACTCAGTCAGGCTTTCAAGATTCCTTTACTGTAGCCTAAATCAATAAAGAATAGTTCCAAGCAGACTTCTGCAGTGTGGGTGCACAATATGCTTCTTCCAGTTAGTGGAGAGCCTTACACAACTTGAACCAGTTGAAGTTTCTGTATTGTATTCAAGAACAATACCATGTAGACTATGTTATAGTAGCCTATATGTGAGGTGAGGAGGACATCAGTCACTTTTGGCAGGAGGACATATCGGAGGGGAGAATTAATGTGACTGAAGGATACAGATGACACATCAGAAAATAAGTGAAAAATATTAAATGTTAGTCTGTTAGGAGACTTTTAATTGGCCTCATAACTAAAACATTGAGAATAATCCTAAAATGGAGGAAAAATACTATTTTAACTAATAGCTGGATGAGTTTATATTTAAATTATGACCAAGAGACAAAGTAGCTATCTAAATTGATCACTGTCATCAACAGGGCTATATGTAACTTCAGTATTAATTGTCCCAAAGTTTGTCACTGTACAATTACTAAGTTCAGTTACCTAGGTTTAATCAACCTGCCATTTTGTAGCTCACTCACAACATTTATTGGCATTCTTTTAGAACATCTATGACTTATAGAAATTATTTTAAGCTTGCTCTGACCATGGAACCTGTTAATTTAAACAAAAAACAAAAAAAAACCCTTCCCCAAACCCCTGATCAAGAGGCAAAGTAGTAGTGATGGAAAATTGGCAATAAAATGAAACTTGTGCTACTTGGAATTTATTTATGCAAATTTATATGTTAAACTTATTTGAATTTCACAAAAATGGATGTTCCAATTACAGCACTGGAATTTGTTTCGCTTCTTCTGTTTTCACCTGCTTCAGTACTGTCTGCAATTGTACTCGTTTGTAGCCAATGTTCCATGTCTGAAAAAAATGTTCACATTACATAAATATTTATTAAGCCTAATCAAAAAGCAAAATAAACACAATATGCATATACTGAGGGATATATATCTAGGATGGGTGTGACAATTTAATATTGTGAAGTTGAAAAATTATGCAGGAAAATCACCATTTGAGATGTCACTTACTGTACAATGAATCCCTTACTTAGGCATGTTGATGGCCTGGTGCACATAAACATGATATGCAGCATAATAATATAGACATAGTAATGGATTAACATAGTGAAATTAAAATTGGATTTTTTCCTCATTATGAGTGCCTGGCTGAAGCACCCATCTTCCATCTGTTTGCCTGCCTTTGTGAACTTGATTCTCTGAACATGTTCACTGGCAGATATCCCGCTCTGAAGGGACTTGAGGGATACATGTACGGCAGCCAAGCAGTTATTAATTGCCACACAGCTCAGTGGGACTTACATCTAAGGAGGTGTGCACAATATGCTGCCATGATTATTAAGCAGACCTCTAGGGAACATGCACATGCATACATTCAAATAATGTGGAAGGGGAGAGGGAGGAGAGACACACTGCGATCGTTGTGGCACGGTTAGAAATGTTTGTCAGAGCTTGAGGGCAGGCAGGGAGTCAGATTTTGTGCACTTGCATGTGGGAAGGAGAAGGCAGCCGCTCACCTCCTGCATGGAGTGCTTGCAAATGCTGGTGAGGGGCTTGCTGCTTGCAAGTGAGAGAGGAAGAGTAGTATCAAGGCAGGAGCAGATGGCTGGGTGTGTTTGAGGGTGTTTCTTCTTTCTTTTCCTTCCTTCCTTCCTTCCTTCCTTCCTTCCTTCCTTCCTTCCTTCCTTCCTTCCTTCCTTCCTTCCTTCCCACAGAACCCATTCAAATCCCTTAGTCTACAGAACCGTTTGAAAAACTCTCCACAGTAGTTTTCTCCATCCTAAATATTTTGTAAAGAGCTGTCCCTGATTCCCCCATTCTCTACAGTTTATGGGGAAAAACATTTTAATAATGCATTTATGTTAATTAAAAGATTTATCCTAGGGATCGTATACCACTGACTGCAAATCTTTAGGCCCAATTCATTAATAGCCAATGTTAACTCCAAATGTGAAGTACGATTGAGAAAGCAAGGCTTAATATCTTTCAGTGACTGATATGGGAAACATAGAAACTGTCTTAAACTATTTTACTTTTTTAACAGATGATAAAATTTGCAGGTACAATAGATTGTTCTGAGGAAGTAAAGACTACCTAATTTCAGAGAAATGAGTTTAGAGGTTTTGAATTTAGAGTCCTTTAATTTCCTATTCAGAAATAGAGATTTTCTGCAGGCAAAGAATTTCTCAAAAGCATTGTATGTGGAGATCTCACTTTTGAACCATTTTCCGTGATTAGAAAGAAGACTTATTAGTCACTCAGTTCCTGACATTTTATGAAAAAGAAAAAGAAAAAAAAAGTGTTATGCTTTGCTTTTTGCAGACACAGTCCCTGGCTTTCTACAGTTTGCTTCTACAGTGAGTTGAGCTCCAGGTAGTACGGCCGCAACTGAATCCCAGTCACAAATAAATCTGAAGTAGCCCAATTTAGTTCAGGATTTGGGATGCAGCCTAATCTGTCATTTCTTTTTAATTTATAGTCTTATGTTTGCATCTTAAAAAATCCAAAGTAATTGAACTTAAAATTATAAATTAAACAATGTACTAAGCAAATCCATTAAAACTGGAATCAACACATTAATCCATCAATAGAAAAATCTATTGTACTAATGTACTAATGTAAAATGTACTAATCTAGTAATGAAATAAAATATTCCTTAAAGATGATATGCCAATAGCATTCTTGGAAAGTATTAAGAATATTTTTAGCAAGCAAAATAATAGATAACTTTATCCAGTGGTATGTTGGTAATGCTTAACAACCAGCTCTCTGAAAAAAATGTATGTAAATATATAGATGCATAAGTTTAGTATAAATTTTACTGATAGAAGGATGTGTAGCACACAATTTACAAATAATAATAAAATATACAATATTCTTCATTTTAAATTCCATATACACAATTGATTTAATTTCATTTGACTTACCTACAATTATGTTTATAATCCTTGGCACATAAACCTTTGTACCTTGTAAATCTCCACATGTTGATTTCTAAATTTAGTTCTAGTCAAGCACATATGTTATTGCAGCCTCAAAATGGCAGACAGACTTAAGCAAATAGGCCAAGTTGGAAAGCTAAAAGGAGTTCTCAAAAACTGGCAGTCAGACAAAAGACATTCAACTCAAATGCCACTGATAAAAACTCAAAATGCAAGAGTTACTTTAAAACTATTTCTTATATGCAAACAGAAATTCTAACTTCAGAAAAGAGACAGGTGCTAACCAGAAGTCAGTTTAGCTGTGCAAGGTTTGGGCCAATCACAGATTGTTGGGAAGAGTTAATAACCAGTCAGAACTAGGAAAACTTCAGGTTTCATCATGAAAACTGTTCCCTTCTTTTCCTAAACTTCACTGACAACGTAACAGGTTCAATGCTGTGTTGTCTCCATTTCACTTTCTTATTGGCACCTGACAAGCCTTGAAGGGGGTTTGTTTGAGAAGTATGCATCAGTGGGGGAGGGACATTATTAATTTTTAATAATGACTGTGTTTAACAACTGGCTCTCAAAATTCCTGAAAATGTTACAGTCAGCTCTCATGAGCCAGTACAAGCTGGAACTCACACACCAGTGCCTTTATCTTTCCATCAGTATTATTGTACATAAGTCATAGGGGCTAATAATATCCCACAATTTATAATACAACTATTCATATCTATTCCCATATAATATATGGTTTAACTGACCCCAGCTTTTTGAAAACATAACATATTGT